GGAGTGAAGAACTGGCGCTTGGGGCTTGCCTGTACACCACACCTCTTTTACAACAGGATATGCAGCCTCGCACAGCCTGCTTGAGTAACCGCATAGATGCTCTGTGAACAGCAGTGATTCGTCTCGATACCGTATGTCTGGGAGCACATTAGGGTGAGGCTACAGTTCATGACCATGGTGGAGCTCATTGTGTGTGGCTGGGTTCTCTCTAGGAAACTCAAAGGCAAACAGGTCTTGTAAATTTAGGCCAGAAATGGCCTTTCTGTGTATGGTGGGCACCATGAGGAATAGAATGATAAGTAAAACTTATTACTTTAAAAACAAAATCAGTACAGCAAACCCCCAGAACTGACAAAACTCGACAAGCCAGAGCAAGCACTCTGCATTGGAGCAGCTGAGGCAGGAGGATCAAGAGTTCAAGGCTGTCCTGTCTCAAAAATATCCCAAACAAAAATGACTGAAGGATGCAAATAATTTATGCAAAAGAAATTTGTGGTTTATAAGTACATGGAAGGATCTTGGCTTTGCACATATTTTGAAGGAAAAAAAAAGACCCCCCCCCAAAGAAAACCTCACTCCAGTTAAATCTCACTTAAATAGAGCTGGCAGGCTGGCTCAGCAGGTAAAGGTGCTTGCTGCCAAGCTTGATGACCTGTGGTCAGTCTCTGGGAGTCACATGATGGAAGGAGAGAACTGACTTTTCTTAAGTTGTTCTCTGATAATGGTCTGTCCTATCCCTTTAAGAGACAAGCCACGCCCACTCCCTCCCCTGTCTGCTTAGCTAGCTGATCTTCAGCTTGCAGCCTGAGTCATCTTCTTTCCCACTCTCCCAAAGAGGTAGCTGCTGCTGTGGCTGCCCCCTTTCCCGCGTCTCTCTGCTCTTCTCCCTTCTCCCCTTCTCCCCTTCCCTTTCATAACCCACTACATAAATAAATATCCAACCTCACTCTGCATGGAGTGCCTATCCGGGTAGGTCTCTTCAATCACCATGCGGCTCCATGCCTAGGACCCACGTCCTAGTGGCCCTCATGGCCCGCAGGCCACTTGGAAGCTCCCTGCCTGAGACCCAGCTGCCTTCATGGCCTGCTATGGTCTCGGAACCCACTGCCTGCAGCTGTTTGGGGACCTGTGGTGTGGTCTCATGGCCGGCTGCCCACTGACGCCACTCGGGGACACAGCATTCCTGCCTCTGCACCCTCAGGAGAACTGCAGCACTTTCTTTTTACCATTGCACGCTGACCTCCACAGACAAGCCTCGGTGCCTTGTGCGAACCCATGTACAAATAAATGTAATTAAACCAAGTCACTTAGGCGGACCTGTTTTACTTCCCTGGAAACATGTGGGAACTTATATTAGGAAAGATTTGGGGAAACAACTCGCTCAGCTGTGAATTCTCTGCCGACGGTACATATCTGTCATAGTTAATAGTTCACCTGACCTTATGCACTGAGAAATTCTGCTTGGAAACATTTATTTCTCAGTCGTACTCGCGATAGTGTTCACTGAGCACTGTTGGTAACAGGACGAGAGCGTGTGAGTGCGTGGCTGGTGAACTGAGCAATGGCACATCTTCATGGTGGACTGTGGACGGCTGTAAAAAAGGAGAGAGTTCTGTGGGTAGCTGGCTGCAGGCTACGAGGTTAAGTATAAAGAGTGAGGCATAGGAAGCCATGTGAGTTGGAAAATGTGTATCTATGTAGCCGTGTGGGTTGGAAAATGTGTATCTACGTAGCCGTGTGAGTTGGAAAATGTGTATCTACGTGCATATGCACAAAGTGCCTCGAGAATGCTAAAAGGCCTGGAAGGCTGGGGTGGGGGAAGTTTTCATTTTGTCCTCATTCTTAAATTAAAAATATTTTTATTATTTAAAAACGTGTGTGTGGGGGAGCTGGAGAGATGGCTCGCTGGCTGTTTTTGCAGAAGATGGTTTCAGTTCCAAATGCTCACGTGCTGGCACAGAGCTGTCCATGACTCCAGTTCCAGGGGGTCTGATGTCTTCTGGCCTCTGCAGGTCTTAGACATATGCATGTGGCGCACGGACATACATGGCCATGTATGTAGACAAAACACTCATACATTAAATAAGTAAATTTTTGCAGAATCTGTTTTGAAAAGTGCGTGTGGATATGTGCATACACATGCATCCATGTGTATGTATTGTGGGTGCCTGCAGAGAAAGGCATTGGGGCCCCTGTGAATCTGGCTTTAAAGGCAATTGTGAGTTGCTCTACATGAATGCTGGGAATTGAACTCAGGTCCTCTGGAAGAGCAGCAGCGTGTGCATTGAATTGCTGAGCCATCTCGCCATCCCCTAAATGGGTTAGAATTAAAAAGCTGTGACCAAAGTGCTGGGCAGTGGTGGCGCACACCTTTAATTCCAGCACTCAGGAGGCAGAGGCAGATGGATCTCTGTGAGTTCGAGGCCAGCCTGGTCTACAACAGCTAGTTCCAGGACAGGCTCCACAGCTACAGAGAAACCCTGTCTCAAAAAAAAAAAAAAAAAAAAAAAAAAAAAAAGCTGTGACAAAGAAATCGAAGAGTGAAGAGTGGTTGGAATGGACAGACTGGTGCAGGACTAGCATTGCATCATCACCCAGTGTGCAGCGTGTCTTCTGTGTTACAGTTCCAGCTGAGGCACCAAGATTCAGCCTGCAAAGGTTAGAAAAAAAAACTGTGAATTGGCTTACTTACTTGGAAAAACGGTGGTTACAGGATGTGCCCATGTTAAGGAACCTAATTTCCCTTTCTTTTTCTTTTTTCTTTCTTTTTTTGAGGCAGGATCTCTCAGCTTTGGCTGGCCTGGAACTTGCTCAATAGACACAGGCTGCCCTAGAGAGATTCACCTGTTTCCGCTTTCCAAGTGCTGAGATTAAAGGCAGCCACTACCATGCCTGGCTGGAGAACTTGGTTTAAAACAAATAAGAACAAATACAAGTTCTTATTGTGTGAGTGTGAACATGCTTTGTGCACATGCCAGGATGGGGAAGAACCAAGGCATAAGAACAGTCACGGCAAAGTAAAACTAAAATCTGGCAGTGTGGATCCAAATCCCGGAGCTCAGTGCCTGGCACTGAGGTTTGTAATCCTTGGGCTCTAAAGGGCTTGGGCAGCCCTGCCTCTCCACCTCTGTCATCCACAGCCCCCAAAGCCTCTCGCTCAGGCCATCTCCATTCCACATCCGCAACTCTTCTAGGTCATAACATCTCCAGTATCCTGGGATCTCCACTGTAGCTAGAGGTTCACCCATAGTCCCTCAGGCCTTCTCTGCAGGACCCTGCCCCTGCCACAAGGTGCCAAGCCTCTACTACTCTCTCTGAACCCTTCATACCTTCAAAACCAGTAATCCCTGGAAGACTCTTACATTGTCAAGCTCAAGATGTAGTCCCTTGGACCACAGTTGTATCAGCTTCTGTGCACTGATCTCAGGAAGGACTTCTCTGTTGTCCCAGTGAAGCGTAGAAGACTTCAGTTCAGTGATACTGAGCTCTTATTAACAGTAGTGGTTCTTCGGTCAATCCTAGCCCGATCAGCACCAATTCTAGGTCACAGCTCATCATGTGGGCCACAGCAGCAGGAGCTCAAGGAACAAGTTGTGTGTGTGTGTGGGCACATGCGCGCACGTGCAGTGGTCAGAGGAAACCTTTCCAAAGTTAATTTTTTTGGTCCTGTGGGTCCTGGGGATCAAACTCAGGTTGGCAGGACTTTACAGCAAGTGAGCCATCTTCATGGTCTTCCTGGGGGCTACCCAGAAGAGTCCTTCAAAGCTAACGAGCTTTCCTGACTATGAACAGAGGAGAAGTTACCTCTGTGCCCTGTGGGCATCTTGATTTTGACCTGGAGAGACCCATGTCCAACCTTGACTGAGAAAAGTGGACTGAGGAATCTCTGCTCTTGGAAGTCACCAAATTGGGTGAGACTGGTTTGCAGCATTTTTGGGGTGCTTGTGTTTCTCGTTCTTAAGTCTTCCTTTGAGGGCCAATTGGAACACTGCTCAGCATATGGTACTTTTTTTTTTTTTAAAAGACGTATTTATTTTTATTTTGTGTGTGCGTTTTGCTTGCATGTATGTCTGTGTGCCACAGTGTGTACCTGGTGCTCTCAGAGGCCAGAAGAGGGTGTGAGTTCCCTGGAAATGGAGTTACAGCTGGTTGTGAGGTACCATGTGGGTGTTGAGAATTGAACCTACATCCCCTGGAAGAATAGCCAGTGCTCTATCCACTGAACCGCATCTCCAGCCCCTTGTTTGTTCTTTGACACAGGCTCTTGTGGCCCAGGCTGGCCTTGAACTTTGAGGCTAAGTGTGTCCTTGAACTCCAGCTCTTTTTACCTCCACAGCCCAAGTTCTGGGATGGCAAGCACCCTACCCAAATCTTGACTATTCATTTTTGAAACAAGTCTTGACTATTCATTTTTGAAACATGTCTCAACTATGTAGACCAAACTGGCCTTGAGTTCACAGAGATCTGCTTGCTTCCTCTGGGGTTAAAGGTGTGTGCCCCCTGCTCAGCCCTGATTTTTTTTTTTTTTAATGTGGAAGAACACTTAACACAAGATTATCCTTTTAAGGTTTTTGTGGATTATGGAGAAGGGTACCTGATGTCATCAGACTCTCTGACCTAGGTCTTTCCCCCAAGGCCATTGCCCCCCTTTGCCTTTAACCCTTTCTGCGTCAGGTACTTGTTCCTTTCACCTTGCATGGTTGTCTAGCCAGTGGAGGAGGGCCTCTAATGAGCTGCCGGGTGTGAGAAGAGCATTCAGAGGAATAGGACGTTTGCCAACAAAGAGTTAAAGCTTTAGTCATCGGGCAAATGAAACTGGCATGCCCAGTGTTGTGTAAGAATGTTCAGAGGAACAGGACACTTGCCAACAAAGAGTTAAACCATTAGTCTGTCAGGCAAATGGAACCCGTGTGCCCAGTGTTGTTTTTGCCTAATCATTCATGTAACAAGCCCTACCCCCTGCACGTCTCCGCCTTCTTCCTCTTAAGGCTCTGGCGGGTTCGCTTTGTAAGAACAAAATACCCGGGGATGTCCAGTCTGTCTTCAGACTGGCGAGCAAGCCCAGAGCCCTAAGAACTCCTGAGAGGGAGAACTGCAATTTTTTCCCCCCCTGAGCGCTGTTCCTTTTTGCTTTATTAGGCAGAAGCGGCGTGTTTCCTAGGATGTGTTTTCAGAGTTCATCCTAACAGGTTGGTACCTTGGCTTGGTGATGGTTTTGGGCTGGAATTGATTGAGTGACTGTGTGGTTGATTCAGTGAGGCTTGTTTTAATCCATTGGTCTGAAAACCTTGGGCCGCTTCCTTGACATGTTCGCCTGTTGTGAGCAAGTGCTGAGATTTAATAATGATGAAAAGAAAAGGATTTATTTTACTTTTATTTGTGTTTACATGCACACAAGTGCAGGCACCCTCAGAGAGGATCCTTTGGAACTGGAATTAGAGGCAGTTGTGAGCTATTGGCGTGGGCACTGGGGACCAAACTCAGGTCTTATGGAAGAGCATCAAGTGCTCTTAACCATTGAGCCATCTTTCTTGCCCAATAGTATACATTTTTCTTTCTTTCTTTCTTCCCTTCCTCCCTCCCTTCCTCCCTCCCTCCCTCCCTTCTTCTTCTCTCTCTCTCTCTCTCTCTCTTTCCTCCCTCCCCCCCCCCCCCCCTTTTTTTTTTTTTTTTTCTCTCCTGAGACAGGGTTTCAGGGTTTCTATGTGTAGTTCTGGCTGTTCTGAACTCTTGTAGACCAGGATGGCCTTGAACTCACAGAGATCTACCTGCCTCTGCTTCCCCAGTGTTGGAATTAAAGGCGCATGCCGCCGCCACCACCTGGCTAAAGATTTGTTTTTAATTTATTGATACATATCTGTGTGTCTCTGTGTCAGTATATGCCTTGTGTGTGGGCAGTGCCTGTGGAGGCCAGAAGGCAGCGTCCCCTCCCTTGAAGCTATAGTTACAGGTGGTAGTAGGCCTCTGGACACTGGACGTGAATGTCTGGATGTCGGGGAACTCACCTTAGATCCTGGAAGGGGAAGTGAGGGTTTTTCCCCCCTCTGAAGTTGCCGCTAGTTGCAGCTGCTTTCACTTTCTCAGCCTACATCAGAGGCAAAGCCCATGCACTGCATTTACCTCTGCTGGAAGCATTTTAAGAAGAAAGATACGGGGGCGGGGGCGGGGGAATATCAGACTGAACTAGCAGGGAAAACAGCCAAGCAGTGAGAAGCCATATATAATGAAAAGAGTTAGCTGGGACAGAGTAGGAGAACCCTTCAGAGAAAAGTGTTAATTGTGTGGATGAAGAGTGAGTCATGGGTGTGTAAGAGCAGAAAGAACTGTGGTGTAGGTATGGGAGTATCTGCATTCAGGACTCTAGCCTAAAGCCAGACGTGGTGGCTCGCACTGGTAACCCCAGCACTTGGGAGTGCAGAGGCAGGAGGATCAGTACAAGTTTGAGGCCAGCCTGAGCTAGGGGTACATAGAATAACTATGTAGGTCTGTATGTGTGAGTTCCTGGGGAGGCCAGAGGCCAGACTCTGGGAGCTGGAATTACAAGCCATTGTTGTGAGCCAGTCAGTGTGGGTGCTGTGAATGAATGGGGCCTCTGTAAATGCAGCAAGTGCTCTTAACCACTGAGCCATTTCTCCAACCCCTTTTCCTTCCTTCCTTCTTTCCTTCCTTCCTTCCTTCCTTCCTTCCTTCCTTCCTTCCTTCCTTCCTTCCTTCCT